ATATGCTGCTTTTATACGTTTCTGTTTTGAGGTTCATACATTAGAGCCATACTTTGAAAGTTTACTGACTTCCTGGAGGTCGCGTTTTTGGGTGAATCCATGAGCATAAATTTTAAGAAAATCTGCAAAAATAAGCTGCAGCTTCTTTTGAGCTCCGCATAACAATAATTTCAGCTCATAAAATGTTCTCTAATCTACAAAATTTTTATAAAAATTGAAGGGCAAATATGACTGAAGGCCACGAGAGGTTTCAGAGACTTTGGGGCAAAATGGAAAGACGATGCCCCTGCGAGCGGAGCGAGCAGAAAATGTTTGCGAACACACCCTTCAGATTAGCTTAAAATGCATTTCAAAAAACTTCTTGCAGTTATTTCATGCAGTCATTTCTTATAGTCGTTAGCTTGCTCCTTATAGCAAGTTATTTGCAATACACTCTTTTTTTGTACGAACCAGTGAATTCGAGTTCAGGTTGACTGTTTTTCAAAAATATGAGGGTGGATTGTTTATAATTTGTTCTTAAATTAATAGATTGTAAGCAGTGCGATTGCTAGCATTTTCGCTCAAGGGAGGTGTTCAGGCCTTTTTTGCCAACAAAGTGAGTGAAACAGCATTCATTTGCCCACATGTTTGGATATTCACCAAAAGAGAGCCAACATATGGCTAAAAGTGTTTAAATTTGCATTTTATAGTAGCTCAGCCTCAGCTTGTTTGTTCTTAATTTGTTTTTAACTTTTGACCAATGTATTACAAAAAGTATTGAGTGTATTACAAAAAAGAAAGTTGCCTATGACCAAACATGACCAATAAATTGAATGAATTGTAGGGTTAAAATTTGGTCAAACTTCCTATTTAATGCTAAGGTTCCCGCTACATGACCAACTTTCTTGAAGTCTGCAAACATGGGCGGTTGGCGTGACACACAAAGACACACATAGTACGCTGTATCCGATGGAAATTGTTTAGAAAGGTCGAAGAAGAAGTACGCTATAACACCGAAAGTACGGGGTACTTTCTTAATGTTAAGTATGGACCTTTTGCCCGGTCCAAGTACACCAGACCGTTATGCCCGAAAGAAATCCTTTATTTGCTGACGGACAAAATGTTGGGGGGGGGGAGGAGGGAGGTGTACTGCGTGAGGGCAGCAGTTCCGGAAGGTTATACTGAACCAGCATTATTTGGCAGAGATAGGAATGATCTGGTTACATTCATCATAAAGGAAGAAGGCAAGGGAAACAATTTAGCGTTTGCTGTCATGATTAGGAGGCAAAGATTCGAGAAGGAGAGAGTAGAAGGCTGTTAGCCTGGTAAAAGAGATAAAAGAGAAAAAAAAGAGAATCCGATACATTCCCTTGAATGAAATTTTTGGATTTGAAGAAGATAAATTCTGCGGAGAAAGGAAGGCGAAAATTGGCAGAGGCAGAAGAAGGCTTTAGAAAACAGTAGAGGGTAAAGAGGCAATTGATCCATAAAAGTAGGAAAATTATGGTGAAAGTTATATGAGAAGATTGAAGGGCTCATTTACAGCAGTCTTAGGCATCTTGGACAAAAGAGAACACGTAGTGGGATTATGGAGCAATTTTTTTGGCCTGGCGTGTCCCACGATGTAAAAGAATGCTGTAAGAATCTTGTTTAGCTTGCAAGAAGACGTCAAAAGATCTCGGAGAAAAGTTACAGCCAATGCCGAATCATCAAAAATACTTTAAGCCGCATTTCAATGGATATTGTAGACCCACTTGATAAAACAAGCAGAGGAAAAAAGATATATTTTGGCCATATGCAGGAATTTCATAGCAGATTTGCTACAGAGTATCTTCAAACTTATGAATCTTTCACACATCAAGAAAAGCCACAATCAATGCATATAGATGGATTGGTGGAGCGGTTTAATGGA